ATTTCCAAAAATGGAAAAAATATATCACTTAATGTTTTAAGTAGAACTATCTAATTCCATAAAATTTGATTTTTAAAAGATTTAGTTTGATTTTAATTTTAATAAAAAAATAAATTTTTCGGTTATGGTTTGATTTGAGTATATGTAAAACCAAAAAGATCAAAACCCCAAAAGTCAAAATTAAAAAATTAGATCCAACTGAAGTGATTCGGCTCAATTTCCTCTGTATAAAAATTTATTGCACTAAATTCAGTTTAATTTGAACCAAACCAACAGAAACCCCACCTTTACGTGTTCCTATATGTGTACGTGTAATTTTCCAACTAATAATGATTTAATTTGCAGGCGAAATTCCTGAAGAGATTGGAAATCTTTTCAATTTAGAAATATTGGCTTTGCAGGTCAACAGCCTGAACGGTATCGTTTCTGTTAAAGTAGTTTAATCTGGTTGTTTTAGGAGTCCACTTACTAATGGATAATACTAATCAATTTACAGGAAGTATACCAGGGGACGTTGGAAACTGCACTTCCCTTAAGCAAATATTAATTAATCGAAACTTTTTAACAGGTATTATTATTATTATTATATTATTATTATTATTACTGTTATTTTTTTTAGTTCAACCTAATTCAATAATTAAAATCATATATAGCTCCATTTTTATTTTTCCAAAAATAACAAATATTTTTCAAGGAAACAACTCAGTTTTTGTTGTTTGATTAATTGCAATATTGAAAGTTAGCTAAAAGATATTAAAATTTTTAATTTATAATATCATAAAAATTTTACAATTATAAATTTTCATAATTTATAAATTATTATTAAATACAAGAAAAAATATATATAAAATGATAAATTGTGTTAGTTACGGTGGTCCGTGATTATGACTTGTGATTGGTAATAAAGATCGGTGGTGAATTAATAAATGAAAAATGAATTAATAAATATGTATTAAAGGATATAATAAATTCTGCAAAATATTTTTCTCAGTTGAGAAATGATAGTCATTTTCTCTTAAAGTAGCTTAGTTTTTTTATACTAGAAAAATAAATTCCATTTATTTATTTATTTTGAATATCTCGAATATCAAAAAATTCAGAAAATATTTTCTAGGTAAGTTATTTTTCTAAAACAAAAGCAACTTAATTTTAATAATTATTTCATCTTAACTTTTTTTTTTCCCTGTTTGATAATGGTAAATACCACAGGAACCATTCCAAGGGAGATTGGAAATATTACTTTGCTCCAGATAATATCGATGGACAGAAACAATTTAACTGGTAAAACTGTTATTTACGTACAATTATTGTTAGATTACTATTATTTGTTTGTTATGGTTATTCATAATTCTTCTTATTCAACAAATAATTAAAACAAAAAATGTTAGTAAATATATTTCATTGACTATGATACAAGTTAGGCATGGTTTCAAAACTGCCGATTTCGGTTTCAAAACCGCTAGTTCTGGTTATGAAAAAGATGAAACCGGAGCCGAACCACTTTTAGGTGGTTTATAAGACAATTTTGGAATCGCTGATTTCGGTTTTATTTCGATTTTGAACTAAAATTAAATAATATATTTTAAACTTTTTAAAATGCTTTCTCATATTTGTAGCTTGAATAAACAATAATAATAAATATTACTATCGAAAAAAACCAAACCAATTTAATAAAAATTCTTAAAAGTTACTTTAAAAAGCTATAATAAAAAAATAAGTTGGAAGTTTCTTTACAAACATGTTTTTTCACGGTTTCAAAAAATGAAGAACCGAAACTGAATTTTAAGTTCATAGTTTCAGTTTTGTGATGATTTTGACCGTTCAGTTTCAATTCGATTTTGATTTGAAACCGAACCGTGGTCATCCCTAATACAAGGGATGAGAAAATATGAATTATTTTATCTAATGGCAGACAATGTGAGATTAGGGTTGGCAATGGGACAGAGTTATTTGGGTACCCGACCCATCCAACCTGATAGAATGGATTCAAGTAATAGATAAATGGATCTGGGATGACTCTACGTATATTTTTATTATTCATATGAGATTTCAGTTCAAGAATTTAGGTATCCACCACTAATACTAATCACTCATTTAATTAGTACTCTTATAATTATACTTTTTTACTTACAATAACTACTATTATAATTATATTTTGTATAGATACTATATTGGTTATCAAGTTGATTTTTGCTTATCTTTATTCTCAAAAAATAAAAACTTAAAAAAAGATTTTTGGAGTTAAACAACACTTAAAGGGGTTTAGACACTAAATGATTAATTATAATCGGGTTTGGTATGGATTCAAATAATAGAAGAAAAATTTTAGAAGGATTTAGAATAAGTTGAGATACATTTCCTATAAACGGGTTCGGATTTGAGCAATGTATTTTAAAGGGTATCTGCCAACCGTATGCGGGAGAGGAAAATTGAATCAACTTTTTAAAAGAATATTTTAACAATAGTTATATTTAATAACCATGCAAATATTTTGTATTTTATTCTCTCTCAGTAGAATACAATAATGGAAACTCTAAAGTATTAATTGTGGCAGGGACAATACCTCAAGAGATTGGCAACCTTCAAAATCTGCAAATTGTGCATTTATCTTTCAACAAATTGAAAGGCTCAATTCCATCTTCAATCTTCAATATCTCAACAATGAATTGGATTGCTCTTACATCCAATAATAATACCTCAAGAGATTTTGGGGCAACCTTGCAAAACAATACCTCAAGAGATTGGCAACCTTCAAAATCTGCAAATTGTGCATTTATCTTTCAACAAATTGAAAGGCTCAATTCCATCTTCAATCTTCAATATCTCAACAATGAATTGGATTGCTCTTACATCCAATAATTTGTCAGGAAATCTTCCATCAACCTTAGGCCTTAGCCTTCCAAATATTATATGGCTTTACCTTAGTATTAATGAACTCACTGGACCTATCCCTCCATCTATTTGCAATGCATCTAAGCTAGAAATCCTAGAATTAGCTCAAAATTCATTTTTTGGCTCCATTCCTGAGTGCTTTGGAACTTTAAAATATTTGGAGACACTCAAATTAGCTCATAATCTTTTAGCCACTAAAAACCCATTTGGAGAGCTAAGCTTTCTTTCATCATTGACAAATTGTCAGAATTTGGTCTACTTATGGTTCGCTCACAATCCACTTTTAGAAGGCTACCTTCCAATTTCTACTGGAAATCTATCTGATTCTCTTGAATACTTTATTGCTAGTGATTGTCTTATAAAGGGTGAAATTCAAGGAAATATTGGCAATTTAACTAGCTTGATAAGTCTGAATTTGGGAAACAATTTATTGACAGGAGAAATTCCAAGTGCTATTGGAAGATTAGTAGAGCTTCAAGGTTTATTTCTTTATGGTAATAATTTACAAGGATTTATCCCAAATGAGCTATGTTATTTGAAGTCACTTGTTTATTTGCAATTGACGAGCAATAACATTTCAGGATTGATACCGTATTGCTTTAACAACCTTACATCCTTAAGAGATCTATTATTGCTTTAACAACCTTACATCCTTAAGAGATCTATTCTTGGCTTCGAATAACTTCATTGGTACCATACCCTCAACTTTATGGAGACTAAAAGATATTTTACAAGTGAACTTATCTTCAAACTCTTTAATGGGTTCTCTCTCGTCAGAAATCGAAAACCTAAAGGTTGTTATTTTGATAGATATATCAGAAAATGAATTATCAGGTCAGATTCCTACAACCATTGGAGGTATGCAAGATTTATTTGCCTTATACTTACATGGGAATAAGTTACAAGGTCAAATTCCTGAATCAATTGATAACTTGATTGGCTTGGAATTCTTAGACCTTTCAAGAAATAACCTTTCAGGAATGATTCCTAAGTCTTTGGAGAAACTATTGCATCTTAAGTACTTCAATGTTTCCTTTAATCAATTACAAGGAGAAATTCCTGATAAAGGACCTTTTATGAACTTTTCATTCTAATTCTTTATAGGGAATAAAGGGTTATGTGGCTTACCTAGGTTGGAGGTTGCAACTTGCATAAACAATCGCAATATTCGAGCATCTAAAAATTTTCATTCTAATTCTTTATAGGGAATAAAGGGTTATGTGGCTTACCTAGGTTGGAGGTTGCAACTTGCATAAACAATCGCAATATTCGAGCATCTAAAAAGCTAAGCCAGCTTTTTCTTAGATATATTTTGCCTTCTTTCATATTCACTGTGTTGATACTTGTCATAATTATTTTTCATCGATTTAAAAGAAAAGCAAAGCTTAAAGATCCTGAAAGCTTTTTGCGATTAGAGAAATGGAGAAGAATTTCGTATCGAGAACTTGAGTTTGCAACAAATGGGTTTCAAGAAAGCAATTTTCTTGGTGTGGGAAGTTTTGGAAAAGTGTATAAGGGAACTTTATCAGATGGAACAATTATTGCAATAAAGGTTTTCAATTTGCAATTAGAGAAAGGATTTAAGAGCTTTGAAAAGGAATGTGATGTGTTACGCAATCTTCGCCATCGAAATCTTGTTAAAGTTGTCAGTAGTTGTTGCAATCTTGATTTCAAGGCGTTGGTAATTGAGTTCATGCCTAATGGAAGTCTAGAGAAATGGTTATATTCCGAGAATTACTTTTTGGATGTTCTTCAGAGGTTAAATATTATGGTAAATGTGGCATCTGCATTAGAATATATCCATCATGGTTGTGTTATGCCTGTGGTTCATTGTGATATAAAGCCAAGCAATGTTTTGTTAAATGAAGAGAAGGTGGGATTTGTTGCTGATTTTGGCATTGCAAAACTTTTAAGTGAAGGAGATTCTGTTAAGCAAACTATAACACTAGCCACAATTGGTTATATGGCACCAGGTAATGTTTCTTATCTATTATTTCTTATTTTCTTTTTCACTTTTTTTTGCTTTCTCAAAATTATTCTTAAAATGCAGTCTTATAGCACAAATATATTGAAATATGCAATAATTAGATGAAATGTTAAATTTGTAGAGTATGGATCAGAAGGACTTGTATCGATGAAATGTGATGTTTATAGTTATGGTATTCTATTGATGGAAACTTTTACGAGAAAGAAACGGAAACGTTTTTTACGAGAAGAAACGACAGATGAGTTATTTCTCGCGAGGAAATTGAGTCTGAAACAGTGGGTCTGAACAATCATTGTCTGCTATGGACATTACTCAAGCTTTGATGCCAATATTAATAAGTGAAGAAGAAGAACACAAACATTTTGTAGCTAAGATTGCAGATTGCATTAACATCCATTTGGAAATTGGCCCTTGCAATGTTCAAACAATTTTTACCACAAGGAAGGCGTAGACATGGAAAGATTGTTTTGTTTGTTGCTCTCAAGAAAATCAAGAAAAAAGTTTTTAAAAGACATTGAGCCCTATATACCCTAGTATATTAAAGAATTTTTATTAATTCAATTTTTTTACGAAGGGAAAAGATCTTATGAAGGAGATGTGAAATCGATGGTTTACATAAGAATGGACTCATTAAAGTATGAAAGAAAATAGTATAATTTTAGTGCAGTGGGAGATTGCTTTATCCCATATTGGAACAAAAATCAGAAAAGAGTATTTAATTATTTTACCGTTTAGAATATCATATTGGTCTGTAATCCAAAATTCAAAACCTCAAATTGCTTCAATCATATTGGTCTGTAATCCAAAATTCAAAACCTCAAATTGCTTCATTTTGAATTGAAATAAAATGTATATATTAAATCAGTTGACAAATTTGTTTTATTTCAAATTATTTGTCCTAAAAACTTAATAACTAGTTTGTGAAATAAGAATTTTTTACGGTTTCTTCTTCTCATTTAATTTTATTTTTCTTTGATCAATTTAAACTCAATGTCTTGTAAAATTATTCCAAAGGAAAACTTTTAAGATTATGATAATTTCCCTTAATATAGTTTCATATGTTTCATGGCTCCACCTATGGATCAAACCAATGAAAATAATAATTTTTTAAAATTTATTCTTTTATTTATTTTTTTTCTGGTGTATGGTCAGAAAAAATTTTTTTTAATGAAAATTTCTATTTTTATTAGTTTGATCGATAGGCGAGGTTATGGATCCGATATAAACAAGTCTAAAAATATATTATTTAATTTGTGTTTGTACTCATTATGGCTGACAATTCGTGTTGTGATGCATCTAACTCTGTATTTGGTCATATTGTGTTAATCAAAATTTGATTAACAAAAGCCTTTAACCCGAAACACATAGTTTTATATAAGAGCTAAATTGTCAACAAGTATTATCCATTTAAGTAAAAAAGAAAATAAAAATGTACTCCCTCCGTCCTATTTTGTTTGTTTGTTATTCCTTTTTGGGATATTCCAAAATGTTTGCGAGTTGTTATTCCTTTTTGGGATATTCCAAAATGTTTGCGAGATTTCTAAATTTTTATATTTAAACAATTATTTTTCTATAATAACATTTATGATTGTTCATTAAATAAAGGACTTTCATTAATATTTTAATGAGTTAAGGGTAAAAAGAAAAAAATAATTTTTGTTGACTAAGGAGAGTGTATTGGATTAAGGCTTGATTAGATTTTAAAAGATTTTAAAATTCTAATGGTATTCGATGTAGATTTTTTTAGAGTCTATTAAAATCTTGTGATATTCAATTCAGACTCTTATAAAATCCATAAAAATATGATGGTATTCAATTATGACTTTTTAAAAGTCCATACAAATTTGATGGTATTCAAAAATGATGGTATTCAAAATAATAATTTAATGATTTGAGAAAGAATTTTACTAAAATTACTTGATTTCGTTGGATTTCATAAGTACACGTCTAGTCCGAAGGGACTAATTAAGCAAGTTGTCACTTTTTAAAAGTCCATACAAATTTGATGGTATTCAAAAAATTAATGATTTGGAAGAATTTTATAAAATTATTGATTTCGTTGGATTTCAAGTACACGTTAGTCCAAGACTAATTAAGAAGTTGTCTTTTAGTTTCCTTCTTTATTTAAAGACTGTTAATTAATCAGGAAATAATATAAGTTTTCCTTCTTTATTTAGAATTTAGCTAAATAGGAATACTATTCAGTCTAGGAATCTAAGCTAATTAGGAATATTTTTCGGTATAGAATTAGGATTTGTCCTAATTGATATAAATATTACAGTAGCAATTAGTTTTAAGGATTGTTTTTTATCTATGAATTCAGAATTTTAATTCTAAGGGTTTCTTTGAAACCAATATGTTATTCTGTTCAAACTAAAATCATCCTATTCTAGCATAATTATTGAGAATTAATTGCTCTACATTTTTCCCCTACGTTAAATGGTATTACAGTGCAAAAAGATCCTAAACTGCTGCAAGATATTTTTCCTGTTATGTTCTAAACCATGTTTGGTAGAAGGAGAGATCGAAGTAGAGGTAATTAGTCCCAAAAAACAGAGATGGCTGAGATATGGCGAATGATTGAGGATTTGACCTGGGCTGTACAGGATCTTGAAATAGATGAAGTCAAGGACGAAAACCCTTTTCATGAAGCTGGGCCCGCAAATCAAGTGGCACAAAGTGGATTGGAAGAGTTGTCACTACACGCCCTTGATTTGAATGGTGAAGGGATGACGATTGAAGTAACTGATTTTCATGGAGAGTTACATGCAATAGATTATTTAGATTGGGGAATAATAACATTGGTAGACGTTGATGGCCATAGGAAGAATGAAAAGGAGAAAGAAGTTTCATATTTTGATGATCAAAACAGTGAAGGCAGCAACAAGGACCTTCTGGAACCAATCTATGATGAGTATTATGATGAGGAAGAAAAAGAAATTTGCAAAGTACTTATCCTAAGTCTGATCAGACACTGCTCTCTGAAACCTCTTCTGGTGACCCTGCTGACCTCGCTGTCTCTTGGCCTGCTGCTCAGTCCTAACCTCCTCAAGCTCTAGAGCAGCCTTCATTAGGGAAGATAATGAAGTGTGGCAATGAGCAACCAAATGCATCTTATAGTCATCATGCAAGCCTTTCCTGAAGCACTTGCACCTATCCAACTCAGAAGGAATCAAATCAGCGGCATACCTACTCAATCGGATAAACTCTCGCTCATACTCTGACACAGTCATCCTGCCCTACTTAAGCTCCAGAAACTCAGCCTTACGCTGATCAATAAAAAGCTCTCCAATATACTTCTGTCTAAACTCAGAAAGGAAGAAATCCCATGTCCTCTCCTCGACATTGACTGCCCGAGACACAGTCTCCCACCATTGATAAGCCTCTTCCTTCAATAAGGAAGTGGCATACACTAAGCTGTCCTCTGAGGAGAACACTGCATCTGCTTTAATATCCTCTCCAAAAACTGAAGCCAATACTCGGCTAAGGAAGCCATATCATCTTTCCTACCCATAAACTCAACAGCACCATACTTCCTCAATTTCTCTATAAGGGGACGAACTGGAATGGGGGCTAGAGCGACCAGAGCCTGGGGAACAACTCCTGCTACCTACCTCAAAGCAGCAACTAACTGCTGAACAAGTACATCCTGATTAGGCCCTGCAGGACCTGCAGTAACCTGCCCCACCCTCGAGGCGTGCTCTGCATCGGAACCCAATGCACCACCAGCGGCACCACCCATAAGAATGCCACCACCAGGAGGGGCATAGCTATCGACCTCCTCATCAGAAGGGTGCTGAGACATTAGTCAACTCCTACAAAGACTAATAGGTTCGCATTAGAGAGAAGTTCCAAACCAGACCAATATGACATGTATTTAACTTAAATTACTTATACTCTCACTTCAAAGCAGATAAATTCCTATATATAGATATGGCCCTAGAACCATCTAAACCTATGCTCTGATACCACTAAATGTAACACCCGCTGCTAGTCTCAAAAGATTTGATGGCGGACGCCACATTTGGCGCCGGAGGCACCATCCTAACTAACATATAAATCATATTATCATGTTATGAATTAGTAGTGATTTAGTATTCACAAGTTTAGCAAGTAAACTAACATATAAATCATATTATCATGTTATGAATTAGTAGTGATTTAGTATTCACAAGTTTAGCAAGTAATTTTTTTTTTTTTTTTTAAAACTGATTTGGGAAAATCCTATAGAAAAACTGCAAGAGTTTCCCTTGAAAATTGAGCTTGCCAAAACAAATGAATAGAAAACACTCTTAATTTAAAACTCCCAACCTCCATCAATTCCAATAATTAACTCAACACGACAACACTTCTATAACTTCATAACCATGTAATTCCTTATTAGCATCATATCAATCATCAAACTAAATGCATGCATTTATATATATCAAGTCTGTAATACTCCAACCATGCCAAATATTCTTGGAAACTATTTTATATCCAATCATTAAATGAGTCTCATTCTTAACTTCAAATATATATACCAAAATAATTTACAATAATATGCTTAAGTTATGATTTGAATAACATAATCTCCAAATAAATAATAATTATATATGTCATAATTTTTAGTTACATAACACTAATTTTACTACTACCAAAATAGTCTCTTCTGCTCTGATGCTACCCTTCTAGTCTTTGAGTAATAACCACGGTCTTCAACCTACGCATGATAAAAATCAAGTCTGAGTATAAAATTCAATGGTGCTCATAAATCACATACTTACCAACATTGTGATGGCAACATACTTAGAACATATATTTCATAAAAGGGTTCACAATCATAAAAATCATTTGAACATTGATAACAACATTCAAGTTCCTGAGTATAAAACTTCAATATGGTGCTGCATAAATCCATAACTTACCAACATTGTGAAGATGGCAACACTACTTAGAACAAATATTTCCATAAAAGGGGTATCACAATCACAAAATATAATATATGAAATAACAACCGATGATCAACCACCTGCATTACAACATCTTATAGCAAAAAGAAAACTATCAAAACGTGCTCATAAATCACATACTTACCAACATTGTGATGGCAACATACTTAGAACATATATTTCATAAAAGGGTTCACAATCATAAAAATCATTTGAACATTCAACATGCATACACATTTATAGCAAAAGAAATATCAAACTAAACTTACAATTTGATAACATATATAACTTCATCCTTTCATATCATATGTTCATTACTTTAGACTTTTATTTTATCAATAAGCATGCTATCTATTTTAAAATCGTGTACCAAATTATCATGCTTAAAAATTCATCTGATAACATAGTCATTTATTCCTAAACTAAGATCAACTAAAATAATATAATCTCATTAATTTAATTTCCTTATAAACATTTTTGTAAAGGGCTCGCATACACTTAAGAGAAGATGAAGCAGATAAGATTTCATAAACTTATTCATAATGGCCTTATATGCCAATATAATCGTAGGGGCTTCAAGAACCTATCGTAACATATGGAGCACATCCGCTCTAATATAAGGCACCCACGTGCCTAGCATATGATCATAGCTTCATATCACAATGGCCTCAATGCCGAGCATGCTCATCTTACATAATAAATCAAATCACTCATCAAATTCGTACCTAGTATATTAGAGCCCAAAAATATAACTTGATTTCTTAATTCATAACACTTCCCATAAAACTTTTTTTTTTCTTTAGTCTTCTTGAAATTTCAATGAAAGCTTAATTTAAAAATTTAAGTAATTCATGAAAATTCCATACTTAAGCACAATTCCTTATCATAGAAAATTTTATCATAAAAATCACTTATAACATTTTAAAACATATATCAATCAAAAGATTCCATTTTAAAGCATTCTTTAGATACATGCAAGGATATCCATAGATCAAACATGCACACCTTGATGCAATTTCTCAATATTTTCATAATTCAAGACATAGAAAATTTCTCATTAAACCCATTTTTTTCTTCAAACTTTCTTTAAGTTATAACAAGATTTGTCATAAATAAAATCTTATCATACAAGTCATACTTTCCTTATGCAATTCAAGGTATACATACTTTAAACACCAATTTTTCATAAACTTTAAACATATGAAAATTATCAAATTATCTTACCTATGTAAAGCAAGTTGCCATTACTCAAACATATATTTAGTATAACTTAGAAAGTCCAAGCATCAAATAGAAAAAAAAAAAAGAAATAACGTAAGCCTTATCAACCTATGATGATTCGGCCTCTTTATGATGACCAAGGGGAGGAGGTTTTCTCCTTCAATGAAGCATGCTAACATTATTCTTATGCACCATTATTCTTATGCACCCAAGGGACCATTTAAATCCTTAGCGTGCATCAATTAAACCAATTTTACATTTTCCCCAAAATTTCTCACAATTTTAATCATACAAAAAATTACTAAAACATAACATATGGAAAATTTAACTTTACTATCCATTAGGTATGTCCATAACAACACATTTAGAGGCTAATCAAAACATTAATTGAAGAGAAACTCAAACTCCTACTCTATACATGGTTTGGCCAAAATGGGAGAACAAAGGGGAGGAGTTGCTCTCAACCAAGTAATCATACTAACAACATTCAAATACACCCAAGAGCATAATTATTCAATAAAAGTTCAACAATTCAAGCAATTCATACAAAATCCTCAATTTTTCACATAATAGCATAAATCTTCAAAATTGGAAGAGAGGAAGTGTATCTATAAACACTAACTGATAGAGTTACTATATTTGTAAATATTCTGTTGCTATAATTGTGCACTAGGTTTTGTACCCTAGGTGGACTTGTATAAATAGTAGGGGATTGTAATCTGAAGGTTACAGAAAATACAAACACTTTTATGGTATTAGAGTCATCCTAGGATACCTCTGCTTCTTCTTAATTTCTTCTCTTCTTTTTCGAGAAATCTCTCTTCCTCTATTTTGGAACACTTCCGTGGCTGAGAAAATCCATCCCGCCACCACCATCACTAATATCAAAACACACATCCCTCTTACTTTGGATTATGAATCTGCTCAATACAGCAACTGGGCAACTCTTGTCATCATTCATGCCAAGGCAACCCTAACCTATGACCACATTAATCCGAAATCTGATGATGACACTTCTTCTCCTCCCAAATCTTCTGTTGAACAAGCTCATTGGGATCGCATTGATAACATTGTTCGTCAATGGATCTACGGAACCATATCTAGTGATCTCTTGAATACTATAATCAATCCAGACGACACAGCTTTGGATGCTTGGAATCAATTGGCGAAATTATTCCAAGATAATAAAACTTCTATAGCCATTCATCTTGAAACAGAATTTGCCAATACTAATCTGCGTGATTTTCCAGACGCGAAGGCATATACACGCTGTCTCAAAGTTTTAGCCGATTAACTGGCAAACGTTGGTGCCAAAGTCTCTAATCAGCGTATGGTATTACGCCTCCTTACTAGACTCACGGATGCGTATGAGGGATTTGTTACCATAGTTCAGAACAAATCTTCACTCCCTTCTTTTGCTCAAGTCAGATCTATGCTTCTTCTTGAAGAAACTACTAAGGCAGAGCGAGCTAAACTTGATGCTCATGCCTCCTCTGCCATGGTTGTCAAAGCCTCAACCGACTCTATGTCTAGTCTATCTCAAGAGACTGATCAGTCCACCAAAACTTCAACTGGCGGTCGAATTCAAAATTATCGGCAACGTGGTGGACGTGGGAATAATTCAGGTAGTCGTGGGCGATCAGGAAATAGTCGCAGCAATTCTGGAAATTCTGGAGGCCGTGGCTTTCAACAGCTGTCTTGGGGCGGATGGTACCCCTACTCACACCAGCTGCCTCCATGGGGACCTCCACCATGTCCTCATCCAACTTGGGGTGTTCGACCACCACCTTCAATGCCAAGACAGCAGGGACTTTTGGGTCCACATCCATCTCAATCCTTCTATACGGCTGCCTCTTCTACCAATGATTATGCTCCAACGGATATTGATCAGGCTATGCACACTCTTTCATTGAAACAACCCAAAGAACACTGGTTTATGGATAGTGTAGCTACCTCTCACATGACTGCTAATCCGGGTAATCTCACTTAACATATAGATGGTTATAACAAAATAACAAACTAAGATTTTTAAAATCATAACAAAATAAGATTTTCAAAATCATAAATAATTTATAATAAATAGTTTGTAAGGTTGTAAAACTGAAAAAAAAAATGAAAGAAATACATTAAAAATGTAGAAAATTTGTAAAAAAAGAAAAACACAAATGCTGAAAAATAGAGCGCCAAGTCATTATTCTTAAGATATTATATACCATAAATGATATCCTACGGTGTGACTTTCCTTTCTAAGGCTTCCTGCTAACCACTCATCTGGTATGAGTATTATCTCTGGAGGAGGACTCTCAGTCGCGGAAAGCGACACAATTAGACCTTGATGGTTTTTGCATACTGTCACTTTCCCGTGGCCCCTGGTAATCACTATTGGCGATAAATTAGCTAATCGTCACCTACATTCCACCATCTAGGAATTCCATATCAATAAATCAGGCATTACATACAGATTTCCATTCACTTTTTCCTAGTGTGAGAGTTCCTCCGCATTAGAGAAACAGAATTGCCAATTTCGCTAATCAATTTTCCTGCGTTGATTGTCATTCCAACAATAAGAGGGCATTTACCCCGGGTTTGGTGAAGAAGGGTTGCAGTCTTAATGAGTTATGGCCTCGCCTTCTACGACATAATTGGAACGTTACTCCACCAGGCCCTGGAATCGCAACGTACTTCTTCGTAGGGCTCTTCCAGCATGCTTCAGTTCTATGCCACATATCCCGTGATGGTACCGCCACTCCGCTCTCAAAGTTTTAGAGCCTAGTATTCATAACTCAGCGCGTGTCAGTTACTCCTTCGTTCGGTACGGGTAAGGGGAGGCACCTTGCTTCAAAAGGCTTTGATATTGGGTCACTCTCGAGGCTATTAGGCTGACCTTCTTTCGGTGACTAAAAACCAAATCAAAAAGCGATGGCATCGATGTATTCGGTAAGTCTTATAATACTGTCTTCTTCTCTGGAACTGATTTGGCCTTTTATCTTTAGCATGACTTCCCACGTAACGAGGGGTTCGTAGGGGTGGGGCGTATATTAATGCTGATGTTACTGTCATTGGACCTATTGCTAGTCTTTGGGGCACGTCGAGAACTTTATCATTCATATATTCTGGAGACTCCGTCCTTTGACTCTTTGAGCGGTGCCTCTTTCTTCATTTGATATATATCAGTATGCTACTCTTTGTGTAGCTTTTAGTCAGCACGATCGAAGATCGGTATGGCAATCTAACCTTCTTGAGTGTAGAAAACTCTTTAAGGCAGAGCGAGCTAAACTTGATGGCTCAATAGCCTCCTCTGCCAAATGGTGTCAAAGCCTCAGACTAACGATCTATGTTCTAATATGTAGACTGGCCTATCTTCACGATGAGAATGCTGATCTCTCGAGTGGCCATAGCCACAAGCGGTGCTGTGCAAGGTATTTTATCATGTGTTTATTCCACCCTGTTCTTTGATCAGAGGCAATTTCGACACTCACTTGGGCGGACCTTGGCCCCCACCTCGTAAGGGAATAGCAGGAGGTGAAGGGGTTCTCATTGTTGATTTGTCTTTTGGGTCAAGGGTTTCATCGTCCCTTCGACGGACGGTAACAAGGCGCCAGCCTCGCATTATTATAGTGTGATGGATATGTGGGAATTAAATGCATTGGGCAGATGTCGCCTACCTATAGTTCTACTCGAGTTATGTTAGACCGATTCCCAGAGCTAACAAACCACCTTCGAGTAGGCAGAAAACAATCCCCAAAGATTGTGGAAAACTGGCGCAGGGAAGCTCTCCTCAGTACAAAATTTTAGCCCGACTACGCCCGAGGCAACTTCTGGAAATTCTGAGCAGGCTCGGTGAGTTAGCGTGCACCCACCATATCTATTTTTCGAAAAAACATGCAGACGTTTTAGTGGCTATATGTGGTTCGCAGTCAAAACTTGGTCCATGATTTGGCCCATTTTTTCCGGTAACCAACTACCGTGTAAGCGCAGTTCTCACGGACCCTATGCCAGGGATGAACGCATCACGCGAGTTCCATGTATCTAGCTTTCGCCGTGTGTGTAGCGTCTTCTAAACGCGATGCGCTCCTAGCGATCACATAGAAACACTTTCCAGCCAATTCTCTAGTTGTGTCCTCTCATTCTCGTGGAGTGGTTTCCAGCAGCGCAGCAACGACACCGGTTTGCGCATGGATCGATCCCAAAAGTCAAGGAAGCAGGTTCTGTAGCTAGGGGTCCTCTTAGCTCGGAGGAGGACCCTTGAGTTGTGCCGAACATCCATCTCAATCCTTGCTTAAGTTGGATCCAGCTGCTCCCGTTCGGCGGTGGAAGTCCCGTATTTTTTCCATTCTCCTACCAAATTACCATAGGTACTAGCCTGACTTACCAAGGGCCGAGTCCATTTGATCTGAGGCGAGAGGTACCTAGCAACATCGCTCTCATCACTGGTCACCTCTTAGATCAACCATAGGCCCTCACAGATGTAATCACATGAGGGTTGTTATGGATAGTGTAGCTACTCCTACTTCGTACATGACGGTGGCTAATCCTGAGTGCTAATTCGTCGTAACGGTGTGAAGAGTGATAACAGGATATATAAAGCTATGAGGGTTCATTATCAACAATGTAAGCTGGAGATAAACGAATACTGGAGTTAGGTTTAAAATTCATTAAGACGATACAACATGAATTAAGAGGTAGGTTGCTGCAATATCTATAGATCAGTACACAATAGGAAACCTGTATAAATAATAGTTTGTAATTTAAGGTTGTGAAACTTTGAAAAAAAAAAAATGACAAGAAATACATTAAAAATGTAGAAAACTTGTAATAAAAAAAGAAAAAAACACAATGCTGAAAACATAGAGCGCCAAGTCATTATTCTTAAGATATTATAGTAGGTATATATATATTACTAAATATAATATAATATATATATATATAATATATAAAGAAAATAATAAGAAAATAAATAAATAACTTAAAAATTATTAAAAAAAAATAAAGTACTCAACAAACAAAGATTATCTACAAACTAATAGCAAAAATATATTATTTAAAAATACAATCCATTCAAAAAATAGGAAAATAAATAAATAACTTAAAATTTGTAAAAAAGAAAATAAAAACTCAACAAACAAAGAGCCCAATAGTTGGCTATTTACACGTAAATTAATTTGATTTAGAGTTATTTATAAATCATTGTGAAAGAAAATTAGAGATAAAATGCATGAGAATTGAGATTAAATGGAAGAAGAATATATATAGCCAAATAGTTTAGATAAATAAAAGATTCAAATGTATTGATTATTGTCATAAAATATAGATTTTTAAATTTTTATTAGTTGGATTAGGTTTGAAAAACTTATCAATTTCTATATTAAATCTAAATATTAAATTGAAAAATTATTTGAGTTGACCAATCAAAATATAAAAAAAAAAAAAAAAAAAAAAAAAAAGATTAAAAAAAAAAAAAAAAAAAAAAAAAAGATTTCAAATTTTTTAAGGAAAGAAAAATAGAATTCTAAACATAGAGAACGCCTCAAACCTTCTTTTTATTTCAGCTTTCATATATATAGATAGATTAGAGTGATTTTACAACAAGTTGAAAAGTTCAATATATTTTTATAGGTTTAGTTGTTAAGAAATAGGAGGTATAATTTAGGGCCATCATGTGAAATGACAACCTTATTTTTGTCTATCTAGTCCATTTGGTGGAGAAGGAACAATCTTGTCTTTGAAAATGTGTGGATTGAAAGATGAAAAACTACTGACAAAAAGTTTTGAATTAATTAAGGCTAAAACTTTTAATTTTTCTCTCCATGAAAGTAACTCGCTGTGTTTTCTGACTTTGGTCAACAGTAGCTTTTCTCTTCCTCAAATCAAAAATAGGGAGATCAACAACTTTGTTTGTTGGGAGATACTTGAAAAAGACTTTCTTAAATTCAATGTAGATGGATCATTGAAAGGAAAATCAGGCCCAATAGATATCAGAGGTGTCTTAAGGGACTCAAACAGTTTTCTTCTCTGCATTTTCTACAAAAAATACTAGTATTATGGATTCAAACCAACCTGAAATGCTTGTAAGTTTACAAGCCTTGAAGATCTATGCTTCTTCTTAATACAACTCTGTTCCTTTAATTATCGAATCGGATTCAAAAATTGTTATTTTATGGGGCTACAAATAAACGTTCAAGACCTTGACAGTAGTGAATAAATTTCAATAAGCTGATTTCATTGTTTCTTCTCTTGTTTTTTGTCCATGTAATCAGATCCAAAAACTCATTTGCTAATACTTTTTTAAAAAAA